AAATAATCCTAATTGGTTTATTTTTATTGGTAAATCCTGCAAGCAAGCGAGCAAGCTTTGTAACTTTTTAAAATTACCTATTTTTCTCTCAGACGAGATGTTTTTGAAAAAATAACAAATAAAAAAGCTATAGTGTAAAAATATTTATAATTTCGAATTATTGTTTTTGGAAAATTAATTAACTGATTGGCTCCCATTTTTGTGTTTCATCATAAAAATTTACTTTATAATAAAATTTTTACATTATGTCATTAAACCTGGCAATAAACTTTTCAATAATTTATAATATTTTTTGTTAAACTCTCTCTTCGTATGCCTATTAAGGCAGAGAAGTGCGATTGTTCTTGTTTTCCAGTGGCGCCATCTATGGCCAAGAATGCTACTTCTGTCACACCCATGCGTCACACGCGTTAATAGGGCGGACCTATTCATACATCCACAGATCGTAATTTTTGACCTGAATCAGAGAACGAGAAATTTTGGAAAATTTAAGTTTGCAAGCATTTTTAAAACTTTTCAGTTTACCGATTGATTTCAACATTAAAATTTTGCAAATTGGTACAGCAGTACACATTTCAATGAATATAATGGGACCCAGTTATTCTTAAAGCATTAATTAGTTTCTTTAATTTAAGGAAATTGTATTCATTTAATACATAGCTATCGATTTGTACGTCCGTTGAGGAATTTTTTTCTTTTAGTGGTAGTAACATTTATGCTTTTAATATATAAATCTTGGTTTTTAAAGCTTAAATTTTTTTTTTATAATTACCGACTATTCACAATGTCCGTAACATGCATAAACAAACGGTAAATAATCTTTTTTTTTTCTTCTTTATATCAAACGATATATCTTCCAGTAAGCAAAAGAATTCATTCTATTGCTTTTACCACAACAACAGATGTTTCCGTTAAGGGGGTGAAAATGGGGTGAAAGTTCTATAACCAACAAGTCAACAGAAGAACAGCTGTGGAGTGACATTCGAAAAAGAATGTATCAAATATTGAAAGTGAAAAATATGGTACAAGTTAAGTTATTATTGTGGAGGATTCTATTTTCGTTACTGCAGCTGTTTTGTTTGAACAAATGATTTCGTGTAACATGTTGAGAAAGTGATACATAAGACTTTTTGTTTTCAAAAATTGTCTATTTTTATGACAACTTTTCAGTTCTTTTGTTTAATTATGAAACAGGGATTTTTGTTTAATTATACAACAGGGATTTCGAACTTACATGAGGCCGGGGACCACAATTAAAAACACAAATCAAATGGCGGGCCGCAACTTTATCCAAATTTTATGTAATACTCTTTTATGTTTGAAGGAACATTAAATATTGATGTCAGATTTTTACCAAGTTGTACAAAATAAAAGTATTGAATTACAAATTAAAATAAGAAGTAGATTTTTAAAAATATTTAATTGTATATTAAAAAATTTGAGCTACAATAACTTTAATGTGCACGCATGTATTAAACAATAAATGTGCAACAGATATCTAATTGTTAAGATATAAAAGGTTGGTATTAAAACTTACATAGCACACAAAATGTTCATTGACAAAATTGAGGTTTGTTTGCTGCAACCACCAGAGAATAGATTTTTCCCTTTAAATTTAAAATTTACAAATGTGTGTGTAAATATTTTTGTCCGAAATGAGTGGTTTCAAAAAGTTAAATCAGAGAATTTCTTCGAGAAAATTTTTGATACACACATGCTAAATTATATTCGCAAAATACAAAAAAATGAAATAAAAAAGAGCAACATACACGATTATTTTTGTATTTGAATAAATATTTTCTTGATGCAAAACCTGAGAAATATTTTTTTTTTTTTTGCACCGTTGGTATGATAAATTTTGCAGAAACGAAGAAATTAGGTTTTTATTAATGAGAAAAGTATTTTAAACCCATATAGATTTTTTACGAAAATTGTCCGCAAAAAATGACAACTAATATATTTCAGTTCGCGGGCCACAAAAGTTGGAAACCACTGATATACAAAAATCTAATGATGGTGTCGCAGTTATCCATTGTTGTCAATACATTTTTACTGGCTGGAAAATCATGTGGTAGGATCTAGTTTTCCCACATTAATTTTCATATTGGTTTGGTTGTCATCAGCATAAAGTTTATATAAGTCATAGTTATTCTTTTACTATAAATATTTTTGTTTCCCTAATTTAAAGGTTAAAATTACCTTTACTGCTCCCGTTTACGTTTTTGATTTTGTTTGATTTCTAAATTAAGAGTTTAGGAGGATTGTTTTTATTATTAGTATTATTATTAGAATATTGTAATTCTATTGCATTTTAAGATATTTAAATTGGTGGCTTATCTTATGAACCGTTTTACAATTATTATTTTTTGGTGCAAATTGCATAAATATTCTATTATGAATTACTGTTAAAAAGATACGTTAAATGATTTAGAACTTAAGTTTTTTTGGAATTTTTGAGCCTCCTCTCCATCCTTGTCTGCAAAAATAAGCAAATCCCAACCCCCTCCCATGTTTGGGTAAGAAGATCGTATATCGTATCACCCCATCCCTCGGATATTGTTTTAACTTTGACTTTCTATTTTGGTACTCTGATTTTAGGATAAAATTCGATGAAAACATATTTAAATAAAAGATGTTACATGTAACAAAACTTACATTTTAATTCATTTGATAAAATTTTAAATCGAAATTTTGCAGTTTAGCTTAGTTTAAACTGAAGAATTGGAAGTTTAAAATAATTTAAATTTAAAGACATGGATGTCTAATTTGATGGCATAAAAGGCTGTTGCAGCCGTTTCTCCATACCTGATAATGACATAATCTTCTTTCTTATTTTCTTTAATGGGTCAATTGAACTCAAATATTTTTCTTCAACTTTTTCGCTCTCCAACTTTAATTTTTATTTCAAATTTAAAAAAATTTTTAAGCGCTATTTTTTTTCCTCATTTTTATTACGGTTTTGCATTTAAAACTTTTTTGAAGATAAGATGATTTTAGTGTGTTACGGAAGCGTTGTTCGTGCCTTTTCCTCTCATTAGAAGCATATGTGTAATATTCAAAAGCCCCTATGTTTTTATAAGTTCGAATATCTTTATTTGTACGCTATTTTATTTTTTTATTTTAAAGCGAGTTAAATGTTCCATTCTGACAAATGTAAAAGTGACCCAATTAAATACAACATTTATCGAAAAATACTGAATCTCAATTCATTTTACAATCGAGGTTGAAAAGCCGAACCAATTCTGAGTTTACTATCCTCAACTCTGTTGCCTTGTAATTTTGAACCTAACTTAGAAGACTAAGGAGCTCCTGAATCAAGCATTTATATCCGTCGTTGAACAACCGGTCCAATTTTGGGTTTACGACTACTAATGTTCAACTTCGTTGCCTTGTAATTTTGAACTAATCCAGAAGCTAAAGAAACTCCTTGATCAGTACCCCCAGAGGTATTGATTTGTTATAAGATCTTGGAGGACTTTGTGACTCGACAGATTTAACTTGCATCAGTCACCATTTACTACACGGGGAGTCTTCTCCCGGTGGGGATCGAACCCACGAACTCTTAGACATGAGCCCAGTGCCCTACCAACCAACGCTCTATCTCCTGAGCCACTGCGGGAAATTTCTTTGATTTATTTGTCTTGTTAGGTATAGAACATATTTCAACACTTTGCCTCGAAAAATTTTAGTCTCTTTTTTTTCGCTTAAATTTTTTTTGAAGTTTTCAATTGTTATTTAAACATTAAATTTTTGCCACAAAACTTCTTAAGCTTCACATTTTTATTTCTTAAGTCACGTTTTTTCAATTTTGATGAAAACTCTGTAAAACATTTCAAAAGAATGAAAAATATTAAAAGAAAAATAAATCTTTTTTAAATCTGCTGGTAATATTTTCTAAGAAAAGCTTCATCACAATTGACCGTTTCCTCGGTGAACTTTTTAGTTTGGACTAATCACAAGTACACGTTTAAGAAAATGGGCATAGCTTGAAATGCTTGTTTGAATAAGTGGACATCGCTAAAAACGCGGATATAGCTTTTTATGCACCTTTAAAAATTTAACTTGGTTTGACATGCGTATTAATGGAATTGGACACGGCACGAATTGCGCCTTTTTATTTTTAAACATTGTACCCAAATTTTAAATGCCTTCTTTATTTTTTTTTATAAAGGTTTGTTCCAAATCAGTATAACACATACGTTGTTTTTTTTAACGCTACGCATGATTATTATTCACGAATTAATATTTTACAATAAAATAGTAGCTTAAACAACGGAATCAAAAGTTATGACCATCTCTTTAAATAGCTATGTTTAATTTCATTAAACGTGAATTTTAAGCAAGGTACAATTTTTCAAACATGCATTTCAAGCTAAGTATGTTTTTTTCAACAAGCATTTCAAGCTATTTTTTTTCCTTCAACACGCATTTCGAGCTATGTTTGTTTTCTTCAACACGCATTTCAAGCTATGTTTGTTTTCTTCAACACGCATTTCAAGCTGTGACAGGAATTAAAAGTTCGCGGACGATATGCGCTTGTCCATAACCTCCTACATCAGAAAGCCTCCACACGGTTTCTTATAAGTAGTCTGCGCAGATTATTTAAAAAGCGACTCACTTATGCGCATGAACCCAAATTCTATTTTCAAAGCACTTGAGAGAAATTTATCATATATATTTGAGAATTGAATCTGTCGTGGTTGGCAAGTAAATAAAATAAACCAATTATATTCATAAATTAAACAAATTTTTAAACATATATTTGCTACCACTTTCTAATTTTTATTAGATTTCATATTAAAAGGTTCTTTCACTAATTGGTTTACCTTTATAGTGGTCTGATCGGACTACCTACAAAAAACCGTGTGGAGGCTTGTCTGAACATCTAAGAAACATCTGACCTTGATCCCTATAATATTTTGTGGTGTGCAGGCAAAATTTCTAAATATGTCAACTTATTTCGTCTCATTTGTTGATTTCTATTTTTTCTTTCTTTCCAGAACTGGTGATGGCTGAGACTGATGAAGTCAACGGAAACGTCAACTCGTCCACGCTACCTCGCAGTGCTAAAAGATGCCGAATACCTCGGCTCAATCGGTCAACGTCCGTCCGATTAAAGAACGATGCTCTGGAGGGAATTCGGTTCCAAGCCAGGCCAAAGTCCATGTCTATGTCCCGAGACTTCCCGAGCTGGCAGCTGGAGGACAGGTATGGAAACATGGGATCCGTGGCCTCGATGCCTTTCTCCATAGATGACGACAGCTCCGTGAAGAGCTTTGGCAGCTTTGTCAGCTACACGTCATTCGCTAGTCAGAGTCAGTGCACCGAAGCATCGGTGTCACGGCCCATCAGCAGATGCCATTATGGCAAGAAGTATGTCCTGCACTGTGATCGCCACCTGGCAAAGCCTGAGGAGTATCTCACGCCCACCCAGAGAAAGGACAAAGAAATAAGGCAGTTGAAATCTTCCTTGATGAAACAAACCAAATCTTCTGAAGCCAAAGATGCAGAGATTGAAAGACTAAAGACTGAAGTTCAGAGACTGCAAGAAGCAATAACTGAAGTATGTGATTTTTAATTTTCTTCATGAAATTTGATTTTTATTCATCTTCAGTTGAAATATCTTCTCTTCAGCAATTAATGCATATTCTAATCTGTGAAATGACTGTTTTGATTGTTGCTTGGAGTTTCTTTTCAGTTATTATATTTCTTGGCAATTACAAGCAAGGTTCTTATTTTTTTCAAAATAAAAAAATACTTTTTTTTTATTTAAATCAGATTTTTTAAAGGATTTTCAAGATACTTTAAAAATTTCAATTTATAAAAAATTTTATAAATATAATTATCATTGATATATTATTAAAATGAAATAATATTTGTATTCTGTAAAATCAACGAGAACTGAAAAGTTTTTAAAATGTCATGTAGAATGAACTATAATTTATTTCATTCAAGTTAATAATGCAATTCTATACGTTAATATAATAATGCAGCTTTTGTTAATTGAAACATATTTACAATAAATTTTAAAACTATGAAAATCAGAAATTTTTTTTAACAAGCGTCTTCTTAAAATGCTTTAAAAATTGTTCAATCAAAAAATTCAGTTGATTTAAATCAAGCTTATTTTAATCAAGCTGCTTACATGAAAAGTAGGAGCATCGCCTGCTAATGACGTAGATTTATTCAATGAAATTATTTTTTTTAATAGAGCTGTCTTATTTATTGTAAGACTGAACTAGATCTGTTGCTCTAAAACAGTCTACTAATTATTTGAATTAAATACAGTTGTCTTACTTATTGTAAGACTGAACTAGATCTGTTGCTCCAAAGCAGTCCATCAATTATTTGCGTCTTCTGGTTGCTCAGAGAAACAACACATGTTCCTCCTTCACTTTATTAATTGGTATAGTAATCAATTGCTCAATTGATGTACGATTGAAAAACAAAAATGATAAATTACGTTCAACTGACGTCGACTTGGATATTTCTATATGTTTAAAAAAATTATCTAGAATGCCCCTTTAACATGGTGAATTGATAAGAATACCACTACTCAAAGTTATTGCGTACATCTATATTTTATAACCGTCGTTGAATAGTCGACCCAATTCTTTGTATTACCAATGTTCAACTCCGTAGCCAGGTAATTTTGAACCCAATTCAAAAAACCACGATTAACCTGACGGCAAGGGAACAACGCACGATGCCGTCTACCACTGAGAATATTTTACATAGGCACTGAAATAGAAGTACATAACTAATACATACAAATTTAAAATTTGTATATTTTCATAATTAAATCAAAATGTTTGCCAGGCTTTAATTATAAACCTACTGCCGTTTAGGCTCAAAATTTTTTTTGCTTTTCTTTTAAAGAGAAAAAAACTTTTTCTCTCTTGAATATTTACTTATTTTTAAATACCGAATTCAAACTGGCGTGATAATACATGGTGCGTAGTGTTTTTAAAAAGTGCTTAAATGTGCTTTTTTTCAATGGGTGTATTTAAAAAGTGCTTAATTTTCTTTTTCGAAAATTGAGATTTTTTTTTATCATGTCGGTTTTCGCCGTATTATACAAAGGCGTGCCTTTCACATTGTTCTATCCAACATTTTCACAATTCATTCAACCACAATCCATTTCGGTGTACCGTCGGTTCATAGCTTATAAAAGGGCCAATCATTTTACGTGTTTGATGAAATACTTGCGAGTTCATACGTCCGTCTACTGAGTTGAGTTCGGTGAGATTATTGCACTCTCATGCGCAACTCTGCTACATTTTTCAAGATATTCTCCATTTCAGGTTTCATTTTCCACCTTCTGATATCGAACCGAAAAATTTCTTGATCATTTTATAATGGCTAATATAATCAAGAAAATAGTTATTTGTCAGAAACGAGTTATTTTATCATGTCTTTGAAAATTATTTTGCATTTTGTCAATGTATATAGTATTGCTTAAAAGTATTTTTTGAGTTCTTTAAAAATACTTAAATGGTGCTTATTTTTTGATGAAAGATTTGGCCTGTAATAACAAAATTAATTTTCCCCCCTTTATAGCTTCAAGATAGCAAGCATAACTTAATGAATTCATCCCAAGAAAGTGATAACTTAGAAGACAGTTTAAACCCAAAAAATTCCACATCTGTGATCAGTTTCGAAAGCAATGACTCTGGCCATAGTGAGATACAAACTGTAACCAGAAACAATGACGATAGTGGCATATCGAACGTCATGTCTCTGTCCTTAAGTCCTAGACACAGCTCTGAGTTCGAGGACTTAGACCAGAGCTCTAAAGTTCGTACTGTCGATAAAGCGGTGGGCACGGACTTGACTTTCTTGGACTGCTTGTCTCCCATCAGAGCTTGCAGTGCATGCCTCAGTTTGAAGGACACTACTCCCGTCAAAAGCATCGTCGTCGCTGCTTCAGATGTTGAAAAATTCCCAGAAGATTCAGAACCAACTCAGCCGAAACTTTCGAAGGAGTTCGAGAGCTTCCTTACCACTTACAAACAAGAGCTAGATCTACTGAAATCACAGCATAAGGAACATTACCAGGATTTAAAAGAACGGTTTAACGAAAGAGTGGATGATTTGCTGCAGAAATTATCTGAAGCTAATACTAGGTAGGTGATCGGCTATGGGATGTTTTGTTTAAAAAATTTTCTTTTTAACACGTTGAATGCCACGCAAATTTTACATGGATTGCCCGTCTGGCCAAAAATCATTTACGCATTATGTATTGCATCAATTTCTTCAAACCAGTAACGAAAACACTATAAAAAAATTAAAAATTTACTCGAATGATGTGTTTCTAATAATCTTGGCTTTGACGGTCACTGGTGACCCCCTTGGCGGTACGAACAAACTCAGTGCCAGTCACCGGTGACCCCCATGGCATTCAACGTGTTAAGTTACTTATTATCATGTTAATATTGTTTATTTCATGATGATCTTAGAACAAGTAACGCTGCGCCATTTTAACGCTGTTTACTTCGTTTAAAAAAAAGGCTAAGGATAATCCAATCACCATCTCTTTCTTCATTTTTAATTGAAGAAATTTATAATTTTTTTTTACAAACTGTTATTTTTTTTTTACAAAATTTTAATTTCATCATATTTATAGCACTTGAAAAGAAGAGTGCTAAATTGTTACTACTTTTTTTAAGGTGCTGTTTCCTTTCCTCTATTAAAGTTTTGCAAATGGCTGGAACAAGAAAAAAACAAGAATCGCTTTTTCTTGTGTAATTTGAAGACTTCAAAATTTATAGATCTTAAAACCAATTCAAAATTTATAGATTTTTATCATAAATCTATTTTTTTTTAGAAAGTCTTAAATTTTTAAAGTTTGCCTATAAGCTTCGTGTAAAAACAGATTTTCCAATTTTTACCATTATATTTTTCTAAAAAGAATTTTCTTAAAAGGATATTGATATTGTAAAAAATATGGAAAGAAGCCTTTGCCCTTCTCCCCTCAATTATTAGAAATATCAAAAAGTTCCCCCAGTAATTCAAACAAATAAGAAAGAAAAAAATATTATCGATTTAAATACAGCCAAGTTCAAATCACGCTGAGAAATTAAAAAAAATTAATAAGCATTTTGCAGATATTTAGCAGATAAAGAAAAATCGAAAACATTTATTTCTAGATGTGTTAACTTTAAAAAACTAATGCAACTGTGTATTTTAATTTCGATCCTGTTAAATAGATGTATGGTTTAGAAAAAAAAAAAAACTTTAACCGGCCTTCCACGGGTCAGGGAAAAGAACAGGAAAAACCTGGAATTATTTTATTTTAACTCTAAAAAGCAAGGAATAGTCAGGGAGAGTTGCATTTATTTTTTCAAAAAACCTGAAAAGTTCCTTTATCATACCTGGTAAATAACAAGTCTAGGAATTGTCAGTAACTATAATCAGTTATTGAAATTCGAGTTAAATAATTCTAGCATTTATTATTATTATTTTATAAAATTTCACTTTTTAGTGAGATTTTTCCACGTTTCCATTCTCATTCTATTATATGGTTTTTGCTTGTAAATATTAGACACTGATTTTTTCTTTTTTGCAAAGTTTTCTGATGAAAAACTGCATGGTATAAATGGATATCCAATGAAATTTTCCTGCAAAAGTATATGAATATACCGATATATAGTATATCCGATATACCTGCAAAAGATGGTGAATTTTTTTTTCTGAAATTAAGTGGGACCCTCTTTTAGAAAATCCTATTTATAAAAAAATAAATATTAATATTATGATAATTTTTTAGTACACTATAATGCTCTTATATGCACATTGGAAGGTAGGCATTAAAGGAAAGTACGGCGTATCTTAAAAGTGATAATATCATGCTACTTGTCTCTGCATAAACTTGTTTTCTGATAAGTTATCAGCTGAGTACACAGCTGTCGTGAGTGCGATCGAAACCAGACATTTTTTTTATTTGACAACTCATATAATAAAAGAAGAGAGTCAGAAATTCTCGAGCAATACTTCCTTAAAAGTGCTATTTTGATACAAGAAAGATTTATATCACAAAAATTTCGTTTTCTCCCTTTTACATCTAACATACCTATTAATTATAAATCTAGCGGAATTTTTAAAATCGAAAATACTATGGTCAGTGCAATCTTTATTTCGTTGGTATTTTACTTGAAATAATTTCGTGAAAGCAATCGAAAGATTAAATAAATTATGAATTATAGATTGGATCTAAAAATAAGCAGAGGTTTCAAAACTCGTCACTGGCTGCAAAACGTACCAACTCGCCGAACCTCTTTAACACGTTGAATACCACGCTTATTTTACATGGCTTGCCCGTCTTACCACAACGGTAAATAACTACGAACTAAATTTACAAATATTAGACAGATTTTGCTAGTTTTTTAAAAGGTTTAGCATGAAATTAATGAAAAAAGTGGGGAATTATATATACCTACGAACTATTTAGAAAAAATGGTGGATAAAAATCTACTCAATTGAATTTATTGAACCAAGAATCGCAATTAATAACTACCACTTGGAAATATTTATTCGCTGTCCGGAACAAGTTGGCATCTCTGTGTATATAAATAAAACTATTTTTGTGTATTCTATATTGCAATAATTTCTTCAAAATATTTTAGTCACGATAATAATGTAAAAAAATTAAAAGTTTACTCGAATTATGTGTTTAGGTTAATCTTGGCTTCGCGGGTAACCGGTGACTCCCGTGGCGCTACGAACAAACTCAGTACCGGTGACCTCTATGGCATTCAACGTGTTAACTTTTCCATGGAAACCTAAGATTCCGCGGAACACTATTTGGGAACCACTGATCTCTTGGATTACTGAACCTCTTTTAAAATCCTTAGTTTTTCACCTTTTGCCTACGGCGCATGATAACACCTGATGGCCTGGATCATCAGTTGTCCCAGCCGTAAGCAAAGGGTTTATGAAAACAAACATGGAGTTGCTTAATCTTACCATTTTCCTCCCGTGCAGGTATCTCGAATTGCGTCCTCTGTTTGATCGAGCACAGGATAAGATCCACAACATAGAGAGTCAACTGACGGACGTTCAGAAGGACATAGAGAACCAAGAAGACTACCATAACCAAATGTACCTAAAGATGTACAGGTGGAAAAACGTTTTTAAGGCTTGTCTCTGTGTTTCGGTGGCTGGGCTAGCTTATAAGCACTTAAGACCTTTTGTCAACTCAATAGATATCTACTCTATTCCTCACTATTTCTCTCCCTCAATAGCCTATGATAACTTCAAATATTATACCAATCTTGTAGAATTTAGAGCGCAAAACTAATTTCGCTTTGCATGTTTATAACATTCTGTACGATGCTGTGCAAATTAAATTATCATTAATTTTAAGTCTAATGTCTTATCGTTGCTTTGCCTTTAACAATTTTGCTGTAAGTAGAATGAATGAAATGTTAATGATTGAAGTGGTTTTATTTATTAAAAGATATTAATAGAAGCCTTGATGAATGCTATATTTTTGATTGAAATGATTTATTCAATGACTTGTTTTTGCTAACTGTGATTTAACTGCTTTCTGCTTAATGTTAAATTAGTTTAAATAGATTTTAGTCTTTTTTTTATAAACTGATTAAGATTAAAATTTTAAACAATCAGATTTTGAGAATCAATATAATTTAAAATGTCTGTTAAACTATATCGATTAATTTTTTCTTGGTGCTTGATGAAATTTTGATAGATGTGCTTATGTATTGTTGATGCGTATATCTAATATCGTATATCTAATTAGAACATTTTTAACTACAACAAGTTAAAAATGTTCTAATTATCACTATGAAACAAAAGAAATATTTCAGAGAAAGGGAAACGCTAAGTAAACCACTTGGCTGGATAAATACAATATTGATAATTACCTTTTGTTCCATAATTAGGTTACAATATTGGTGCTATTGATTGAAATAATCGAATTTATTTCATGGATCATGTTTTCTGATGAAATTTTATTTTCTCCCTTTTTATCAACAAAAATAATTTGTTGTAGTTGGGAACAATGAGGAAAAAGCTCAAAATTTAATATTAAGAATTGTATCTCGTGGATAACTGCTTAATTCATTTATTGCCATGATTTTAAAAAAAAGCTAGTTGCAAAAAAAAAATCAGATTTGCAAATTTTAACTTAAATTTTCATTGCTTTTCTGCACTGTTTGGCAATATGCTAAGTCAAAAAAAAAATTGCTATTTAAGCTGCAATCTCGTTAAATTAGTTGAGAATATCATTTCTTACACTCCCTTTTCTACAAATGAGCTACAATTACTTGCTAAAAATATTAATTTATTTCAAAAGAACAAAAAGTGCAAATCTTCGAAGAAGTTTAAAACATTTCAAAATTAACTGGACTTTATTTAACTGAAAGGCTCCGTCCCTTGCTGGCTTGATTTTTTTATCCATCTGAAATCCGTTCTATTTAATCCGTAAAAACTGTTTATCGAAATTTTAACATAAGAGCTGTGTTCATCTTTAGACATAAGAGCACGAGGCTGCCAAAAAGAAAAAAAAAGGAAAAAAAAAATCATAATTTTCCTAATATTAGTTTTTGCTAAACTTAAAACAAGTTAAAAACTATGACATGATTATGACAGTTCCATACCAGAATAATCCTTAATCACTTTACTGAAAATGTTCTAACTTCAGATTTTTTTTCATACAAAAGAAAAAAATTTAACACCGCTTTAAAAAAAATTCGATTAAATTAGCAATAAGCTTAGATGGACTGACAAAAATTTTAAATTGTCTAGTTGTCTTTTAAATTGTCTTCTTTGATTTACAAATAGTAGATGTAAAATGAAGAAATGTCATTTTTTTACTTCACTCAAACAGGAAGGATATAATAAGCTTGTAGATATTTTAATATGGTTCCTCCCCCCTTTTACTGCTTTTTTAAGGAAAAAAAAATTCTCCCTTTTTAAAAAAAAAAAAAACAAATCTTAATCTTATATCATTTTAATTAGTGTGATTCTAGAACAAATTTTTGTTTCATTGTAACAAACTAAATATCAAATGTTTTTGTTTCAGCGAACTGAAAAATATAGCTGACGTATTGTCTTAAAATGTATATTTAGCTTGATCGCCGAAAATAAATATAAAATTTGATTTGATGCTCTATAAAAATTTTTATCTACCTTACATTTAATGTCTATAAATTTTATCATCTTTACCTTAATAACTAAACTACTTATGCTTTGGTGATTGTATGTTGCAAATTTGTTGCATTGATAGCTTTCAGTAAATTCTGTATATTTGAATTGCACACATTTGAAAGAAAGCATTTTTATTAGAGTATATGTAACCAAGTGTGAGTTTATAATAAGCAATGTTAAAATTTGATTGAAGATGAAAACTAGAGCCATAAGAATAGAACATTTAGATTTATTATAGGTCATTTGAATTTTACTACTAAAAATATTTTCGTAGCTGTCAACTCAAACCTGTTTTATATTTTTCCACGAATTTCTAAAGCATTAACAAAATTTACTATCGAAATTTTAATTCTTGGTTTAATAAATTTAGTTTAAAATTATTTTGTCCTCGACATTTAAATATAGTAGTTGTCCTACAGGGGAATCTTTCCTTATAATGAAAATTTTAATTGGAACGTTAAATAACGTTTAAAATATTCTGCTTATCATAAATTAGTTCTATCAATTTCTTCATTTATCTTTCGATTTTCCTCGTTTTTGAAGAAAGTAGCTACTAAAAGTTGGATTTTTTTGCGCAGCCTGTTCGCTCTGACACGTGCGTGTTTCAGGTACCCCTCGCATTATTTATTCCAATGATAACGCTCAACAATAGTATGTGACGAATTCTATATTATCGTTTCAAACACCCCTCTTTAATCTATATTCTTTATTTTTAATTAAAAGTCGCAAATAGACATGTGGACATATCACACAAACTAAACATTTAGTTAAATAGGCTTAAAAATGCAAAAATATATAACCCCGCTTAATGAAATTTTCTTTCCAACATAATTTTCACCTGCAACCAATATATATTAAAAATAAATAAATAAAATGTCTCCATCGAAGAAAAAGTGATATTTTTAAAATTTGATTTCTTAGGAACTATTTGAGCGATTTCACTCAAATTTTGTATTTTGCCATTTAAATAATGTAAAAAATTCTATACCTTACAATTCGAAATTTTTTTCGACCATTATTAGATAGAATAATTAAAAAATGATGAATATTTAATAACAGTTATTTTTTTGCATGAAATTATCTTTGAATAAATGAATTTTATATTAGTGTGCGAAAAAATTTTCAATTCTCTTTAAAAAAAAAAAAATAAGTTCCTCGAGATATGGCAAAGTTTGGTCAGAAATAACGAATTCGTCGAAAAAACTAAGTTTATTCAGAGAAAGTGCGTTTTTTTACTTCTGATATTGTAACTTAAAATATCGTCTGTACTTATTATGGTCACCCTCTAGAATTTGAAGATCCGATCATTAAATCAAAGTTTTTCACAGAGGTCCGTTTTTTTCCTCGCACTGTACACAAAAGACTCGATAATTATGTGATCTTGTTTTCCAGAATTTGTTGTAACAATTTTATTGCTATTTCTGCTTACTACTTTAACTGTTCCCCCTCCCCTTTAGTTATTTTTTAACAGCTAAAACAGGAAAGTTGGCAGCTATGGATTTTCTAATGATTGTGATCTTCCAAAGAATGCGTGATAATTTATATGCGTTTCCTATTTAATAAGTTTTCTACATATATGAGCTGTATTTGGATTAGTAATTTGATGGCAGTATTATTTTTTAAAGAAAAACATCACTCGATGGTTATAAAGTGAAAGCAAGAAAAAAGCAAGTCCTAGTTCTCCCAACTGCTTTTGAAATTAATAGAAGAAATATTAATGGCATCTAGTTAAAGTAATAGTTAAGATCTAATCAATTTCAGTAATGTTTTCGCATTTGAGATACTAAAATTGAAGCAGTTCATTTTGAAATCGAAGCTGCTCTAACTAAAACAATGAACTGCACTTTTTTTTAATGTTAAAGTACCTTTTAGATTTATTTTATTCAATTTAAAAATAACTTAAATTAATACTCTTTTAAAAAAGTGTATGAAAAATAATATTTTTCTTCTTCTGAAGTTAGAAAAATTCTAAATTTCAGACAATTTTTTTTTTTACTTCCTCCTAGTTAATCTACAGAGAATTATACGAACGCAAAATCTTTTTTTATTATTAACTTATTAATATATTCGATAATTTATTCATTTATTGTTTCATTTTATTCATTGAAATCTGCTCTATTGTACCAAGTTACTTAATTTTAAATTTAAAGGTTATAAATATATTCTTAAAACTTGAACTTTAAATAGTCTTAAAAAAGTTTTGGAAATGCTTCCAAATTCATAAAATTTAATAACTAGGTACAATATAATGTATTTCAATGAAGGAAATTGAGCAAAAATATTCAGTTTCTTAATAATTAAGGAAAATGCTTTCGTTTAATTCTACGTAGAAGGAAGTAAATTCCCTTTTCTGTCTAAAGCGAGTTTTAAAAAAAATCTTTTAATTACATCCATGTAGTTAATTCAATAAAATTATACATAGACTCAACGTGGATATTGCGGACTTGTGAAGTAGGTGCCAATTGTGAATGTGATAAAAACATATCTCTTGTTCGGCTTCATTTTGTTTTAATCATTTTCAGCTCCATTATGTGATTTTATTCTAATCGTTTTCATTGTTGTGTTTAACCCTAATCATTTCCGTTTTTGTGATTTTATTCTCATCGTTTTCACATTTGTTATACTGTTTTGTTATATTCGTTTTAAATTGTGTCCAATTCTCAGGGCCCGCGCTAAGCATTCGCAACCTCGCCGAATCGTAAATTTGGTGAATAAAATTGTGTTTTGGTGAATGATTTTTCTATTAGAAAGAATTGTATATATATTTAACTTGATCCTCAAAATTACATCAATAAGAATTTTTCTGAACAAATTAGAATTGGATCCAAATAATATAAGCCTGAAACAAACTACCGTAAAATAGTTTTGTATGGGGGAAAAAATTTATCATTTGGCAAAGTCTTTCGAAAATTGGCGAATACTTTTGATATTTGGCTAATAATTTGAAATCCTTAGCACTGGGCCCTGAATTTTTTAAAATTAATATGTAATCTGGTCGACGTTGTCATCACAGCTGTGATTTCCTTTGATATTTCTGAATGAGTGGCAGCGTAATTCGCCATTTTCAACTTTTTTTTTGTTCCATAGACATCGATAATCCTGAAATCTGGGGACAAAAAAAATTTTTTTTAAAGAACATTTATTTTAATCAGTCTTTATTTCGCTTTACGACTCACTTTTAATAATTCAAAATTTGCCTTTATCTACCCTTTTAAAACTGTTATTATATAAATCGAGAAGCATATGATTTTATTAAAAAAATAAAAATTTTCTATTATTTGTGATAAATAACTTCTTTTAGTTTTACCATCGGAACTAGAGCAATTAAATTAAAAATTTTTTTTATAGGAATATTGGATTATCGATGTCACTATTTCAAAACAAATTCATTTTTATCCTTAATTATTTTCAAAACAAATTAATTTTTGTCCTTACCTTGTCCTGCTGATCATTTATGTCAAATCAAAGTTAAGTTTCTGTTTCTCAATTGTGTGACTTACAAATGTATGTATTTAATTTATAGCATGCATTTAGATAAATAAGTAAAAAAAAGAGCTATCTTTACACTTTAGTGTGTTAACTTTTGTAGTTTGTTGCAAATAATGTAACTAGTGAAATAAAATGTGATAATTTAAAATATGTCATTATTTATTCATTATTTTCACGCAAGACAATCCAGCAATATTCTGGAAACATACTTCATTTTTTTTTTAAACTTTGGATAGTTGTAATTAATTTTAGAAATATCATTTTTGAATATTTTCCGTGAAGTTTTCTCTAAGGGGAGATTTATTACATTCTTATATTTCATTTGATTTGTATTTAACGTATGTATCTCCAAGAAACACCAGCTTTTAAACTTAACTTTTCTATAACCAGATTCTATGAGAACTTGCAAGCAAAGAAAATGGTTCAATAAGAAGATGCACAATATTCTGTGCATCTTAGGAGAGCCTTCTGGCTTCCCTGGAATATTTTATTAATTTTCTCTCCTTTGCTAGGCAACTAAAAAGGACTTAAAATTCTTTGATATCTACATCCTGCAAATATAAGATTTTTCATCACAGTTGCTAAGCGACGAGCCAATGGCCTATCTATGCATAAAATTCCTTGAATTCTGGGAAGTATTCCATTGTTTTATACAATTTGGTCAGTTTGTAAGAATTTACTCTTTAAAATAAACTCAAATTAAAATCCGTAAATGACAGTGCTCTGTTATAAACTATAGTAAGACATTGCCATCAGAGAAACTATAATATGCTAACAATTACTTACAAAAATAATTTTAAATATGAATTTAGGATGTAGAAAAATATCTGCCATTTCAATTTTAGGAACTTTTTGGATGATTTTTCTGAGCTTTAATTTGGAGAAAATACATAAAGATGTATGTAGTTTTACAACACAATGTAATGCACAACATATCTCTGCTTTTCATAAAATCCTAAGTCCATAGGGGTTTAGAAATGTTATGTTACCTGTCGGACGTATACTTGAAATATTCCACCTTGAACCCAAACTGTAATTGTATCTTACCCCTTATACTTTCATTTTCTTCAAATAATTTTCAATTATTTTTTGCCATTTATGTTTGCATGCTTAAATTACCATTGTTTGTAAGTCACCTCGAAATATTCTGCATGCATATCTACCTTTTGTTTTTATGATTTGAAACTTTGTGTTTTGTTTAGTCATTGCATGTATCCCTCCCCAAACAGGAAAGGCCAAGAAACGGCCAGATTCGAACAAGCTGAGCAAGCTCTGGACTTCACTCCGAGACACTCGAAGCGCGTTTCAGTCCCTGATCTCTTGAAGCAGTTGCAGCAGCTGGAGCATGAGCTGGATCAGACGAAGCAACTGTACAGGGAGGCAGCCCGGGGGATGGGAGACCGACAAGCAGAGTACACCCTGCGTTTCCTGAAAGATGCAGTCTTCTACTTCCTGACCAAGAAGGACAAGGAGCACCTGAAAGCCATCCAGAGCATCCTCGGATTCACGGATGCTGAGAGGATGGCCGTTGCCAAGGCAATGAAACACAGGAGGCTGTGAGTGCAATAATTAAGTACGTTCTATGCTGTCACTCTTACTTCTTCAGCACTTCTTTGAGCACTTTTAGAATATTGCTTGCTTTCACCATCTTTCTTTTCGGGGTGTGTGGTTTGGAATCTTATTATTTTTTTTCTATTTTTAACTCAATTATGCTGGACACTTACTAACAACCAAAAGTACGGACATAAAAGATTAGTTAGTCTCTTAACTAACGAAGTGGACAAACCTAATCAGTTCTAAAAAGAAATTAGATTGGATCCTAGCCAACCTTTGCATGACATTATCTATGAAGCACAATACATGAAGGCCTTATTTGGATAGTTACGACTTCACTTATTAAAAAAATTTAGCTCACTTTCAGGTTCATGTCAGTACTGAATGGTCCAATTTCACTTAAAATGGAGTTAGCCTTATTTTCATGTTCATATAAGTAACTTCTATCGTATTTTAAAATCAGTATATCCGCTAAGTATTTTTATAGTCTTAACAGAAGGCACAAAAAAATCAGACAAGATGGGAAAAACAATGCAATCAGTAGTTTTTTAAACTCTGCAATCTCAAAATGAACGAAGATAGATTTAAAGCGCTATTCAAATAAAGCCTTCATATCTGAAAAATCATGTCCATGGAATTAGAGATATACTTTCACGACTTTTGAGTTACAACGTAAATACGTGAAATATTCAACTATGAAACATTTTGTTGCTAAAAAATTATGGTAGAATTAGTAATATTTTTTTGAAAGATAAAATTTATACTTCTTTTCTGTTTTAGATTCTGCTCACCTTTTAAGACTTTAAAATGAAAAGTTGAGCCTTCCATTCCCATGAGAGAAATCAGTGTTGTTGTAACATATGAGTGTTCTGCATAACCCATATCTACTGAAAATATTATGTAAATTACTGTGTTATAGTGGTAGTGAAAAGTCTACTTTTCCACTGATCATTAAGTATCACTTTTTTTTTTTTTTTTAGAAATCATCTATGTTATATGATCAAACATATTCCCAATACACATAAGAAATCACAAAACTTACATTAAAACAATATTGTTACTGATTTTAATTTAATCAGAGAAGAAATTTTAGAAGAGTATTTTAGTAATATTAAAATATATAGTGAAGCTTTTTTTTTTCTTATACAAAGACATAGGATTTTCTTTTTAAATCCCTGAAATTCATAAGCATTTTAATTATTGTAGGCATTTAAGCGAGCATTTTAAAAAGCATTTTTCACATTTTAAAGTTTTTAAACATATAAAATTCAACCAAATTTAAAGTTTTTATATTATAGTAATAAATTTCACCATTTTTAGTTGTTTCATCCAGATATGTTTATTAAGTGTGTTAACTATTATAAAAGTTAGAGATTATACTGATTAATTATAAAAATGACATTTGATGGGTCGAAATACAATACATATTAAATATATTACCATATTTTTAGAAGAGATTTTAAATATCATGAGAGATTCAATATTTAGTGTTATTACTTAATATATATAATAAGCTATTCAATCATTCTGACTATGCAATCAAGCATTAATCCAAACCTAATGTTTCCTTGCCGCCTATCTAGTTCCTATATATTAATGCTTCTAAAGTCTAAGACTACCAGGTGCTCTTTTATTATACCTATTATAAAGAAGCTATGTAATAGTTAAATACAATATCTTTTATCTGAAAGACATTTTAATGATATGCTATTTGGATCGAGTGAAAAATTAGATCCTATCTAGAAATCTATTACCTAATAGGGTATAATGTATTATTATTACATTAAACCCAATTACTATGTAAAAAATGAGCCAGGATGGCTTAGTAGTTAGGCACTGGATTGTGGTTAAGTGGCGGTTTTCCCTCAGTGGCAGCTTGAAGCTCACACAGTTTCAGATCAATAGATACTAGCTTGTCAGTAAAGACAGCATTGTGTGATGTTGACCACATTACCACAAATGATGCCGCTGGTCACAAAATTGTGGAGCCTTAACTTACATGACCCCCTGGCCCACAATGGGCTCTTGCTGGAATTGGGAATGTTTCTATTTATGTTTGTGTCAAAACTAATGGTAGAAATAATACACAAATTAAAAAATTTTCAATTAAAAATCAGCATACTTTTTTTTGTTGGAGAGGTTATTTAGAAATCTGGACGCCCTGTGGCTGAGTGGTAGCGCTGTCGTGTCACAAGTCCTTTTTTCAATTCTCGGGCCGGGCAAGGTTAATTCAGCCTTTCATCCCTTCAGTGGGTTCATAAAATGAGTACCAAGCATGCTTGGAAAGTAAACCCTGGGGTTTTCACGTTGGGCTGACCACCCAACCGGAACATCTGCTTCTTGCACCCTAGAGCCCGAAGGTCAAGAAAACTGAGATAGGTACAGTAGGCCTTGGCTCTCTATGGGCTGTTGCGCCACTGAGTTTATTTAGAAATCTGATTTAAACCCTAACAGTTTAATTTTTTGATCCACTACCATTTTACATTAGATGTGCAATTACTTTTTAATACATCAGATGATAAACAGTTGCATGCTTTTAAACTAATATACGTCCTCCATCAGCAGCAGTTTGTGATTTGCTAAACATGTTAGCAACAATGTTTGATAATAAGATATGAGCTATTTACAAAGATGTGGAGTCTGATTGCTATTTTTATTTTGAACTTTTAAATAATACTTATAAGTTTTATTTATACAATAAATTAAATAACTGTTAAACTAATTGCCGTTAAGAAAGATAGTGGTTGATAAAGTACGTGGACAGTTTATTTTTGTAGAAAATTGTTATTAAAGTAACAAATGAATGAATGAGTATTTAATGAACTACCGGATCTTTGAATTTTTAGTAAATTGGTGTTTAAATTTTTATCATGCTTTAGTTCCATTTAAATCTGTTTATATTTTGTATCATATAATTTGTTTGCATTTATTTTTGTATCATAGAAAACTCATACTTACTCATTTATATTCTTGAACAAAGAGGTTTCAATGTGAGTCAAAACAGTATTGATTTCATTATTATTTATTTATGTTTTGCATGTGAATGTTTAATTTTGTTTTTAAATTTATGATACAAAGACTGTTTTAAACTCTCCAAAATTGGTGTGTGTTTGAAATGAATAAATAAACAGCTATTATGAAAAGTATGGTTCCATTCCTTTTTCAAGAGTGAACTTGTCCATCGTTGAAAAATACTTCGGAAAAGGCAGATACAAAATAATTTATTATATAAAAAATAATTGTATATACATAATCTCCGAATAATTTACTACAGACGGATATTTGACAATTTGCACAGTAGTGAATTACCAGAAGAAAATTTAAAAATACATATTTTAGGATTTTAAAAAATAAACTTAAGTTTTTAGTAGCCATTTCTATTTGCATTAACATGAAATCAATTTTTGTTGATAAGTACTCATTAAAAATATTTAGTAGTCAAACTTGAAGCATAAATGTATGAGCAAGATATCCCAAATAATAGTTAATATAAAAATAGGGAGAATTGCCGGGATAAAAATTTGATTTTCATATGCCAGTTGTTAAAAATGTAGGAAAATAAATACAATACAAATAATAAAAAGATACATAATTGCAAAATTTAAGTCAGATTAATGAATTATTAAACAATGCATTATTAAAGCTTTGCCTGTTAAGTCCGAACTCAGTTTGGCGACTAAATTGCTCTAGTTTTAGAATGATGATCTGAGTTCAGGGAAGAGAAATCTTGATGCTTCTATTTCATGAAGTCCAAACTCAGTTTTTCCAATGCACAATATGCAATAGGTGGAAATACTAGTTTTTAAATTATAAAGCAAAAAGTTTGCAAAAATCCGACAAATGGCAGGAAACTACCAATCTTGCAATTCAAAAGAATCCCTCACATTTGATATAGACAATAATATTGTATTTATTTAAGAAATTTATTTTGCTATAATTGAAACAAAAATTATTGTAATCCATTAATATTTCCCATGTGAATATAATAGTTATTTCGTTTAATTTTTTTAAAAAATCTATTTCTAACATTTTGAAGATAACAAACAAAATTAAAGAGAAAAAAATTTCCATTTTTTTTCCCATTAACATTTTTCTTAAATATACATTCCACAGGCAAGGTCTTAAAGAAATTGCAAAACTTTTCAAAATCAATTTGGAAAATTGCAGCAGCATAAATAAAATTTAATTATATCAAGCATAATACCATAGTTATCTTGATTTTTATGGTAATCTAACTGTAACGAAATTGCCTTATTAAGTAAATAATACCTATAATAGGCCTTAAATTATAAGTAGAACTAGGATGAAAAGCAAAAGATAATTTTGCTTGATTATGAAACAAGAATAATTTAAAAAATTTAATCGTTTATAATTCTGTGTGATGCAAGTGATCTAAAACAAAACTATGTAACTGATCCAGCTTCCTCGGCCCATGATATTCAGTGACAAACTTACCATTTCTAAATACAAACAAAGAGGGATAACCCACAACCTGAAATAAGAATCATTGCATTACCTAATTGTAGGATAATATACAGTACAACTTCAGAAAGCACCAGTGTTTTGCAGGTTCAAGTTTAAGAAATCTTTGGATTTTAGACACAGGCACGTAGCTGGGTGACAATATTTAGGAAGCAGAGGGGTCCAAATATTATTTTAAAAAATTTCTCATATTAAAATTTTCGATCTCGATGACTCAGTCAAACCTCTGCTCCATAGCCATGTCCCTCTTTTGACAGTTTTGTTTCTGTTCCTTTTACTTAAACAATAAAGGTGAATTTACTGCTAAGAAATCACTCAATCCAAACATAAACCTAAATGTTTCTAAAGATTTTATATATTCTTCAGACACTGTATAGAAATTATTAAAATTTATTACAGTAGTATGTTTTGCAAATAAGCCACATTATGGTGATAGGTGTAAAGACACACTCTCGTNCTTTGCCAGTAACATATTTAAGAACTGTCCTGTTTAGACAGTTTTGTTTCTGTTCCTTTCACTCAATCCAAACATAAACCTAAATGTTTCTAAAGATTTTATACATTCTTTAGACACTGTATAGAAATTATTAAAATTTATTACAGTAGTATGTTTTGCAAATAAGCCACATTATGGCGATAGGTGTGAAGACACACTCTCGTGCTATTCTTGAAAAACCTTTAGGACCAGAAAAATTAACAGTTTGGCAGGTTTAGAGTCTGGGGTAATAAAACTGTATTTTTTAAAGTGAAAATGGCAAAAGGTTTTCAGAAAACAGTGTGGACTTCTCCAGCTAAAGTGATTTGGTAACTGACTAAGTAAGATGACTACAATAAATTTTCATTCAGCAGTTCTTAAATTATACAAAATACATTTCTTGACCAGATTTCAATATACTTCCTTTTAAGGAAATTTAGTTGGTTTATTCTTTTTATCCTAGATGGATCCTCAAGAAACAGAGATGCATTTTTGATGTAAACATCAAATTGTTCTGCAATATTTTCATTGAACTCGACATTCAATAGTTTTTTTAATGATGGCATTTGTTAATAATTTCCATCCATAAACCTCAAAAACTTTAAGACCTTAAAACAGAAATCATTTAGTCAATAAGAGCACATTTATGTTTAGAAGTGGTTAAAAATTGGGGGTTAAAAACATTTTATAAAAAAAACTTGAAAGTCGTTGATTTGCATGAATTTATTTTTATGTATTATCTAAATGATAATACAACAAGCCATTACTTAAAAAAAACCACTTTAGTAACATACATTGTTTTGTTTAGATTCCACATTTAAAAATATGTAGCAGCTCATCTTTGATCAGAATTTAAAATATGCCATACAGCCTTTAAAATCCTAATATTTTTTTAAATGGTATTATTACAAAAAGCAGTTTCCATATTAAATTTGTGTGATCATCATACAAAAAAATAAAAAAAATTTACTTTCATTATATGTAATTATTACAACATTTGTTTTTTGACAACTTCCCACAAATTTAAAATTTATTTAATTATTTTCTTATAACAAATGAAAAAAATTGTTCCGTTTTCAAAGATTCAAGATTTTTGGGATTTTATTGCTGTAGTAGTTTAAAAAGTCACTTAATACTTTTAAACGTGACAAAAAAAATATAGAAAGATTACACTGATTATTTTTACTATATGGCAGTAAGAAAGTATATTTTAAATGTAGTTATAATAAGTTTATAGGAGTAATAATATACAAAAACGAAGAGATCATGTGAAAATAAAAGTTAAATTAACAAACTTCAAAAAAAAAAAAGCAGCTATTTTGCAAGCAAAAAAATCATCAAACAGTAAAATTTAATACTGCGTAATGAGGTGAATTTAATACTATATAATATTAAATTATACTATGCTTTATATCAGTAATAGATAAAAAGGTCCGTGCAGATAATCACTCCATCTGAGCATACAAAGAGGGATTGTAAGAATATTCTGGTTGGATGTTATCTTTTTTTATTTATTTTAAACAAAAATATTTGGATCTTTGAATCTGAAATTCAGATAAAAATATATAAAAATATTGGGTGCCAGATAGGATTCTTCAAAAGTCTGGGATTTTTTTAATACCTAATTACAACCATTCAAAGATTTTTTAAAGGTATTTATTTTTTAAAAGGATAAAGAACACACAGTATTTCAAAGTGAAACTGAATGAAGAAAATAATATGTATCTAGCTTATCAACATATTTTGTTAAATAAAAAAATTGACTGTAATTTAAATTAACTATGTAGCAAAAAAAATTAATAAAAATAAAATACAGAAGAAGTAAGAATTAAAATTGTTACCTTATGCTCACTACACAACATCTCATCTTGAGTACAGTCTACTTTAGCGATTTTTATTCTGGTATGTAGAACAAATTTTTGGCCTAAATCATTCCAGATTGGAGCTAACCTCTTTGAATGGCCACACCTGTAGAATAAACAAGAAAATAAAGTATATAATTATTATAGATAATAATATGTATATGTTACTAGCAAAGTATGAAATGCCAGCATTCTATAGAATGCCTAGGCATTGTTTATGATGCCAGATGTTTTTAGGCAAGTTATGAAATATAAGAAGTATTACATACTTTTCCTAGGCATTGTATATAATACCTATAGGCATTATATAGAATGACAAATGCTATTTAGGCAAAGTATGAAAAAAACGTCTTGATGTGGTTATGTAAATGACGTGCATTTTTCAAAAATAAAAATTTTATTCTTAAAAAATAATGAGAGTGCCATGAAAAATTTCTTTATTCAAAATGCGTAAGGAAAAATGAATGTTGAACAAAACATAATTTATGCCTTTCTTATTAAGGGAAAAAAAATTTTCATAAATAAAATAAGAAATTAGCCTACTTGTCGGTACATGGCAGACTTGAATGACATTTCGAAGCAAATCGGAGGTGTATTTTATACTTAGTTGTTTTCTGATTTGGCATTCTATAGAATGCCTAGGAAATATGTGAAATATAAATCGTTTCATACATTGCCAGCTAGTTTTAGGCATTATATACAAGGGGTGATCAAATGAAAAGGTACGAAACGTAAAAACGTAACAGTTAAATATTTGCACATTCCGCTATGGGAGAACTTAGCGAGACATCTCGGGATGCGATTGGAGTCTCTGACTGGGATCAGAACATGCACTGGTGCCCACATGAGCAGGAGAGAGCAGAGGCTCTTATCAAAAGCGGCGTCCAAATGACGCGGCAGTCCGTATGAGGACTGGATGGTGTTCGCGTTGCGAAATTTGACGATTGAGGAACAGCGAGGTGTTATCCGATTTTCTCGAGCACAGAAAAACCATTAACTCCGATGTGTACTGTGAGACACTCTGACACCTACGCAGGTCCATCAAGAACAAAAGACCGGGGCTGCTCACGGAGGGTGTGGTTCTACTCCATGATAAAGCGCGTTCACACGTCTCCAGACTCACACACATGGAACTGGCCAAGTTCAAGTGGGAGACGTTGGACCGTCCGCCATACAATCCGGACTAGTCGCCCTGCGATTTCCATGTGTTTGGTCCACCTGAAAGGGAAGCTCTTCAACTCGGACGACATACTCAAGGACGCTGTGAAGGACTGGGTCTCGTCAAGACCACAGGAATTCTGGGAACAAGGAATCCTGCGGCTTGTTCATCAGTGGGATCGCTGTGCACAGGCCTATGGTGTATATTTTGAATAAAGTCTACATTTGTACCCACCGTGTCGTTTCGTACCTTTTCATTTGATCACCCCTTGTATA